TGCGTAATCAGCCTTTCTTATCACTGTTTCGAGATTTTTTCGAAAATTTTCGAGTTTTTCGAGTTTTACCCCCCTCGGGGGCCTCGCGCGGCCCCGCTCGGACCTAATTCGCGTTCCCCGCTAGATTTACAGGCCGCGCGCGGCCGTATTTTCTTCCCGGAGGGCCCGCGGCGGCCGATCTCGCAAGCGATACGAGCGCCGCCGTCGCGCGCGTTTTTCGCCGTATTTTTCGAAATATCGAGTTTTATCCCCCTCGGGGGCCTCGCGCGGCCCCGCTCGGACCTTATTCGCGTTCCTCGCTAGATTTGTGGCCGGCGCGCCGTCCTACTTTTTCAAAAACCGAGTCCCCCGGCGGACGAATGAGTCCCCGACGCCGCGGCGTCGTCCCGATTTCGACGGTTTTTCCGACTTTTTCCAACAGAGTCGCGTTTCGCTTCGTTTGTAGACTTTTCACCTCCCCGCCGAAGACGTATTCGAGTTCCCCGCTAAATTTATAGCCGGCCCGCAGTCCTACTTTTTTAAAAACGAGTCCCGGGGAGGAGCGGCGACGCGTAAACGAGAGTAGGTACCGAGTGGGTACGTCGTGTGTGTGCTATATACAGGCATAAATACATGCGTCTCGACGTCCGATTTTTTTCGCGAATCCCACCGAATCTCGAATTTTACCCCCCTCGGGGGCCTCGGGTCTCCCCGTTTGCGTCTTATTCGCGTTCCTCGCTAAATTTGTAGTCGGCGAGCTGTCCTACTTTTTCAAAAACGAGTCCCGGGGAGGAGCGGCGTCGCGGAAACGAGAGTAGGTACCGAGTAGGTACATTTTGGGTATCGCTATATACAGGCATAAATACATGCGTCCCGACGATCGATTTTTTTCGCGAATCTCACCGAATCGAACTTCCGAAGCCGGTCGAGACGGTCGTCCCCTTACCGACGCGTTCGACCCCCCCGCTCGGACGCCATTTGACGGACGTGGACGCCGCTTTCCAGTTTCGGGTGCACGGCGACGCGGCTTAATAGTCATAGATTTGACACGATATATTTTCATCTGAGTAGGTAGTCGATAGGTTAGGGCGCTAGGACATGTAACTAGGAGTCGTGGGTTCGATACCGTCCCCAGGCGATATCGAAGATTTACGGCGGCCGTGATAATCTTGAGTTTTTTTTCGCGTTTTTTTTTTTCGTCTTTTCTCCATCAGTTCCGTATTATCATATTTAAATAGTCCCCCCTCATAGTCGGGGTACTTTTGACCCCCCCCCAATCAAATTTTTTTTGGCCGAGCATAACTTAGCCGGGGATCGTCGTAGCCGTATTTTGTAAACGGCTATGGGTTGTGGGTGACCACGTGCATACCATATCAAAAATTACCCCCCCCCCCTCCTTTTTTTGATTTAAGTATATCTCTGTCACGTTTCGACTTGGGTCCCCCGTTTTACCACCAAAATTTACGTTTCAAGACCCTCTAAATAGTCCCCCCATAGTCGGGGTACTTTTGACCCCCTCTCAAATTTTTCGGTGACAGTTATGAACGCCGTCCGCGATTCGACTCGATAATAATAACTGACTTACATGTATGCTTTGTCGTAGGTACCTATTAAATATATCACAGTTTGGTTGAGGTTGAGTTGTTGGTAATATTATGTTATATATATATTATGTGCTATTTATTATATACATGTATCTTTATACCTATTGATATATTTATATAATAAGATTTAATAAAAATATATATATATTATACTATGTAGTAGGTACTTAATGTATTACAGTTTTTAGGTGAGTCAAATTATGTATATTAAAAATATAATCTAATGTGTTTAATTAAATTATATGACTATGCTATAACTATTTAATAAATAATAATAATAACAAATATTTAGTTAACACTGCTACAGATTATAAATACTATTTGATATAATAATATTTATAAACTAATAGATCTAATTGAAATGATTAAATTCTGGTAGTTAAATTGTACAATTATTATAATATACCTAACTACTCTATTTGATATTATTTATATGGATAGGTTTGATCGTTTGATGTAGTAGATATTTAATATATAACTTAACGTATTTAAATATTACTATACTTATTAAACTATTTAATAAATAATAATAATAAATATTTAATTTACACTTGATTTTATCCAACGCACATATATGTTTCCTTTATACTTCAATAAACAATAGTGCAAGTACAATTTAACTACTAACCTAGGTACATGTATACTTTGTAGTAGGTACCTACTTAATATATCACAGTTTGGTTGAGGTACGATACAAATACTGCTGCAGATAGTATATAAAACTCTGATAGTTAAATTGTATTTGACATAATTTGTTATTGCTCAAAATATAGGTAGGTCTATAGTGTATATTAATTTAATTATGAGTTTCAAATTAATAAATTATGAATAACAAATTGATATACATTATGTACTATTTATTATATAGATGTATGTTTATACCTAATGATATATTTATATAATTTAAGCATAATATTATGTATGTACAAAGTGAAATCAGTACATATTTTGGTCCATTGGTCTAAAAGTTTAAATGAAGTACTATTTACTATTAATTATATCATTGGTATTGGTTGGTATTGGTTGGTATATAAAATATGTCTTTTTCTAATAGTTTGCATTGTGTGTTAAACGGTATAGTGTTATAATATATGAACTGGGCATATTGTAATATGTAAAAATTTAATTAGAAGAAGTAATAGTGAAATTGGTAAATAAGGTAGCTGGTCATTGGTTAGTACTCCATGAGTAGGTACATAACATTGATGGACTAATAGAGAGTAACTAAGTATTGGAAACAGAGGATTTCACTTCTAAGTATATAATAGCAAATTATAAATATATATATATATATATAATATACTATGTAGTAGGTACTAAATTTTTAGGCGATATTAAAAATATGAATTATATGAATTTAGTCATATCATATGACTATACTATAAGTATTTAATAAATATTTATTTATAATAAGTATTTAGTTAATACTTGACACATTTACCATGAACAACGCACCTATATTTTTCAAATAGTATATAATACTCTGATGGTTCAATTGTATAATGATATGACATAATTTGATATTACTCAATATAATATAGGTCTATGGTCTATCACGTATATTTATTTATTTAATATCAAATGTAATAATTTATGAATAATAAATTGATATATATATATTATGTACCTACATAATATGACTAATGTATTTTATAGATGTACCTATGTATATACATAATAGTATAGTTATATAATTTAAGCATATTATATGTATGTACATGAATTAATAGTGATATTAATATACATTTTCGTTCATTGGGCCAAAAATATAAATAAAGTACCTACACATAATATTATAAAAATTATTTCAGTTAACATATTATTGGTACCTATATAGTAAGTAGATGAATTGATAGTGAAATAAAATTAGTAAATAAAGTAGTTGGGCACAGGTACTCCAATGGTATATAATATACTATGTAGTAGGTACTTAATGTATTACAGTTTTTAGGTGAGTCAAATTATGTAGGTATATCAATAAACAAAATATAACTTAATGTATTTAATTAAATTCTGGCAGGTAAATTGTATAATAGTAGTATATAAATGGGGGTTCTGACCGCTGCACTCCACTCCCTCCACTCCCTCCACTCTTTCCACACCCTCCACTCCCTCCACACCCTCGCTTATCGGCCACGTGCGCGAGGTATATTTTGGTCTTATCAGTAACCACTCCTTATCAGTAACCACTTCTTACCACTGATAACAGTTATCGGCCACGTGCGCGAGGTATATTTTGGCCTTATCAGTAACCACTTCTTACCACTGATAACAGTTATCGGCCACGTGCGCGAAGTATAATATGTTGGCCTTATCAGTAACCTAATCAGTAACCACTTCTTACCACTGATAACGATTATTGGGCACGTGCGTGACGTATACCTAATAGTGATAACGATTATCAACAACCGTCAAATTATCAGCAGCTGTCACCGCCACCAGAAATATCTACAACATAACGTAATTATTAGTACGGTGTAGGTTTTTCAAAATGTCGAAATTCACGAAATAAACATATATTGTTAAATATCAGAAATATATACCGTATACCACTATTGTTACTACGGTGTATGTATTTTTAAAAATGTCAAAAATGTCGAAATTCACGAAATAAACGTAAATCGCAAAATATCATAAATATCTACAACATAACGTAATTGTAACTACAGTGTAGATTATTACGATTTTGTTAAAATTCACGAAATAAAAGTAAATCGTTAAATATCAAAAATATATACCGTATACCACTATTGTTACTACGGTGTAGGTATTTTTAAAAATGTCAAAATTCATGAAATAAACGTATATTGTTAAATATCAAAAATATATACTGTATACCACTATTGTTACTACGGTGTAGGTATTTTTAAAAATGTCGAAATTCACGTTTATTGTTAAATTTCAGAAATGACTACAACGTAACGTAATTGTTATTAATCCATAGGGCTTCGTTTGAGTCAGCATTCAATCAGTCTGTCTACAGACTTACACATGTACGATTCTCCTCTGCGTTTATCCAAGTCTTTATAATAGTGGTTCGGTGTTTATAATTTTTCCAAGTCTTTATTATTTTTCTAATAAACATTTATTAAAAACATGGCTGGTGCAATCGAAGACAACGCAGTGTTATACAAAAAAAAGCCCTTCACTTATGTGCCACCGTCACCACCTGCTGAGCTCATCGAAACAACAAGCTACACACTCGACTTTGCTTCCCGTAAGTTTGTGCACATCGGTATTGACCCGACTGAAAAATTCAAAATTGTGTTACACATTATAACATCATCGCGTTACGTGCATATTACTCCGGATTGTTTAAAAACAATATTTTCGTATATGGGACGTATCTTTTCTACTGAACCGCAAACGTATAAGAGAATAACATTTTATGAAGACTTGAAGATAAAACTATCGAATATGATGTATAGCGGAGAAAACGTGTTAGTGATAGAATCAAAAACTCGAGACGGGTGCAGAGTACTGCTGAATCTGGCGGACCTTATGCGTCTTCAATATCTTGAATGTTGTATTTTCGAAAGTATTATCCGGAAAGAAGTATTCACCGCACCATTAATTATAAAACAGTATGAGGAGTTCGCGACTTACGTAGATGAGAAATGTGCCCGTCATAAATCGCCACCGAAAAATATCGATGAGATGAGAATATTCATTCAAAACATGCAAGACGATCGAACGGTTGAATCTTCGCCGAACTTCACTAGTCAAATACAAATGTGCGCAGCTGTACAACTAGCAGAATCTTTACTAAATCTGGAAGCATACAACTCACATGAGGTAATTGACGGGCCATGGATACCGGATCAAGTCAGGACACCATCACCATTTCAAACGACTTACGCTCAACACCCAACACCAATTCGCTGTGTACAACGTCAATTATTTTAATATTTATTGGAAATTAACTAATTTATGTGAAATAAAAAAAACATGATTTATAAAAAGTATTTTCATTTATTAAAATAATAGTAAGGTTTACAATAAGTATTTACAAGGTTCTTACTTCACCATTAAATGGATTATAAGTTATAATTTGGTCATGTAATATTAAGCAATATGCGGATGTTGAAGCTGGGAACGCTTCGTCTGCTTCTAGTTCAATCCTGAGGTCGACGGTTGATGTTTTCACGTTATCGTTCTGTCTGCTCATATCAACAACTATAATTGGAGACATATTTTTGAAATCTGCTCGATTCAATAGCGGTTTCACATCGTCATGGCCGTAGTAAGATTTTTGGAACTCGGCATACGCGCGATATAATGTCGCCATCTTGTTCTTGGTAAAGTCACTTTGAAAATCTTCATAGGGAAATACTTCAGCGTTTAAATAGACCTTTAGGTTTTTTATTTTACAATGGTCGAAATATGACATTGATTTAATCGAGCTATTTTTCCTATTGGTTTGAAATCCGATTATTACATAGCGAGGTTTTTCTAATTTGTTGGATGTCTTCACTTTCCACGAATGCGAAGTGTTTTGAGGTAAAAATGGATATTCACACAGTTCCCACGATCTAAACGCACATGTCAGGGGTTTCTGATTGTTGATTACTTTCAACAGTCTAATTTTTTCTCTATCACTAACTCTCACTATAGGCATCCGCCACAATATTTTTGTTATGTTTATTTTAACGTCTTTTAGTTTAGGAGCGTCTGCGACAACTTCATTATCTTTATATTGCTTGACAGCATTTATATCGAGCGATGCTCTATTCAATACAAGTTGCTGATTACAGTTTATTAAAATTCGCTTATAATCTTCACAAAAACCAAACAAATCTTTAAGATTAATACATCCGTTAAAATGGTCGTTATCGATAAAATCTTTATTAGCAGATTTAATTTCGCTATCCCAAGCAGCATTATGATGCGATGAAATATTTGTTTTATTATACGAGCAATATCCTTTTAATGTGGTCGATATACCCGGATTGACGAGTTTCTGAATTTGAGTACCGTTTATTTCGTATTTCATTTCAGAGAAAAGAAATGCCAGTCCGTTGTTTATGAATCTAATCTCGTCAGTTATTTCCACAGGTTTGATTATTGGCCCCTCGATGTAAATATAACTCTCACACGGTAAAGTATAAGACTCTGTGTTATGCAGAGCAATACGCACCTCGTCGTTATTAGAAAGAGCAGATGTTGAATACGGTAAAAAAGAATGATAGTCAATTTGAGTTATTTTACAATCGTCGGTGTATCCAGCCGTTACATCTAAATACAAGTCGTCCATATTAAATAGCGTTCAGCGAGCGTAGAAAAGCCAAATTATCTGCTGTTAGACTATGATCAACTTGTTTACGTCTCGAATATTTCTTCTTCTTCGGAGATGTTACCTTGCTAGTGGTTTTAATACGAGTGACAGGTTTTACACACGCAGTCCTATTTATATTACAAAATTGCAGACCCATTGTTTATCACAAGTCTTGAATTAATAATCGTATCGATACTGGCTCGCCTCGTAGATCGATCAACTCGTTGTCTTGATTTTTTAAAATTATACTCGCGTGCGTTATAGATGTAGAATTAATTGGGTAAAATACCAAATGTGTTGGAACCTCTATTATTTTATAACCTGGAGGTACATTCGGGTAAAACTCGTGTATTGTATGGCACTGCTTACCGTTAACGAATGAACCCATAACCAGATTTGAGTCGATATATATACAGTTTGTTTTTGTAATATTGACCAACGCATCTGATTCGTGATTGACATTAGCATCATACTTACGATTTTTAAACCCTAACAATTTTCCTATACCATTAGACATGGAAAAATCAACAGTTTCGCTACAAAACATTGTGCATTTTAATGTATTATTATCTGCTCTCAACACGAATAAAGTATCTGAATTAGGTAATACACGTATTATTGCCGCTTCGATTTCCTTCAACTCATAAGATCCAGTGGGTATTGTATAGCTTTCGCTTGTACGCTTACCTGAGATATTATTTGTGATTCCTATTCTATTGCATTTCTCGTTTACATTAGGTATAGAATTATTTGTTTGAAAACCCAGCAGACAGATTTTCGCGTTTTTACTGACTTCTATAGGTGGAAAAAAGTCGCATGACAATTCACTCGAGTTGCCGGTTAACGTTATAGTATACATGATAAAAATTGTAAGCACAAGTGACCACAGTTTGTTGTATTATATTTTTGATGTCTATCGTAGTTATATTCGATACTGCACCCGTTGAAATATTTCTGTAATTCTAGAGGAGGGGCTAAGTTTCCGTAGCTGTCAAAATATTTAACTTGTTTTCCGATTTTCTTATACGCTACCCAATGAGTACCTGTGCCGATTTCAGTGTCTAAATTAACTACAGCCGACTCTTGATTTTTTAAACGTTGCGACAACTTGTCTCTAGAAAATACACCAATGAAATGAGGTATTTTCAACATGGCAGCGTATTTTATAACCTCATAATCGAACAACGCTCTATCGGGTAACGTAACAATTAGTTTTTTGACCTAGATTTCTTGACTGAACCGCCCTTGTGTGGTTTTCTAGACTTCTTAACTGATCCACCTTTGTATGGTGTTAGGTATAAACCTTCTCCTTTTACGACTTTATAAGAACTACCCTTGTGAGGTGCTAGATATAAGCCTTTGCCTAAATGAATAGGAGTGTTTTTACCAGAATTTAATTCTTTCACGACTTTAACTATATTACCAACTCCACCGGTAAGCGCACCTAATGCTGATAAACCAGCAAAAATAGGTATTAATGGTAAGACACCGCCCCTTTTCGGTATTGGTATAATTCTTGGAGTTTTAGTCTTTTTGTTTTTAGATTTTTTAGATTTTTTTGCAGCTGACAGACATGTTTTTACTAATTTAGTTATATTTTTTTCGTTCATTTTGTTTTTGATCGAATTCTTAGCAGCTAAAACCATTTGTTTAAATCCGCAACCAGCTCCCATCTTACGTTTGACCTTCATGGCTGTAGTGACCAACCAAGACGCAGCTTTTTCCTTGATACCTGTGTTTTTTGATTTAAACACTTCCCAAGCCTGATTTTCTAATACTTCGTCCGCTCTGTGTCTATCGGTTAGTGAATTACTTTCATCGTATGCGATATCGTGGGCTCTGGCCAACTCATCCAGACGGTTAATTCCGCGTTCTCCACGCGCTAGTCTTTCTTTTAATTTGGTTCCAGGACCGGCAAATCTATAACAAATATATATATATAAAATGTAGACAGGATTTAATAACAATAATATTATGTAGTGACTTACCTATAGCCAGGTAAATGCAATTCCACGGGTAAATGATTTATAACAGAGTTAATAAGACCGGATCCTTTATTGTTGTTTCGCTTACGAACTCGAGACATCGTGTGACGCTTTCGATAACTTTGCATCTGTATTTATAGTGAAAAATTTTAAAAAAAAATGCGCTTTATTGAACAAGAGAAAAAACTTCGGATTTATAACATTGATACCCCCGAGACAATTCAGCTGAGACATGGTGAACTTTTCCCAAATACGATAAGGTCGTTGGTACTTGGTAGCTCTGGATGTGGTAAAACAAATCTGATGTATTTTCTACTCGTCGATGAAAACGGTTTGCGATTTGAAAACGTTTACATATACTCTAAGACCTTAGAACAACCAAAATATAAATTACTGAAACGTATTATTGACGGTATTGATGGTATCAACATTTTTACCTTTTTCGAGAATGATAAAGTAATTCCACCCGAGAAAGTTTTACCGAACTCAATTTTTATCTTGGATGATGTTATCGGCGAACAACAAAATGTAATAAGAGATTATTTTTCTCGAGGTCGCCACAATAAAATTGATATATTTTACCTAGCTCAGAGCTATTCAAAAGTACCTAAACAGCTGATACGCGATAATGCAAATTTAATAGTATTGTTCAAACAAGATGAAACTAATTTAAAACATATATATCAAGAGCACTGTTCAGGAGACATGACATATATACAATTTAAAAATGTTTGTATGACATGTTGGAACCGTGAGATGTTTACATTTATTGTTATTTGTAAAGACTGTGAGCGTGATAACGGACGTTATCGTTTTGGGTTTGATACTTATGTGGTTATATAAGGCGATACAATTAATAAATATTATCATTTATAACGCAGTCATGACGGAAGCAACTACTGTTCTAGATGAGCTTGTCAAAGCTAAGGAAAGTATTAAACGCAAATATATCGCATTGAAAACCGGTTCGGATAATGTTCAACAATTAATGACACAGACATTAAAACCAATTATCGATCCATTAACTAAAATATCGAATAAACCTGGGCTGACATCAAACAAAGAAAATATTAACGTCAGGTCGAAAAACTCATTTGCGGACGACTATCAACAGGAAATTGAAAATTGGCTTCAGTCTACAGACTTGGATAAAATATACGGTCCGAAAAAACTTCCAAATGGCTATATTATATTGGGCGATAAAGAAGTAAAATTCACCGAAAATACTATACTTATTGACGGTACTGTTTATGACTTAACCTCGGGTCTTATTCAGTTATTATTTTTGAAAAATCCTCTTGTTTATACCGACAACGATATAGGTGTGTATAAATCTATATTGATTCAAACATCAGCACATATAACTATTGGAAGAAAAATAATAAAAAAGGGTGGCTTTAAATATACATCAATCATCAGTAAATTATTTCCCTCGGGCAGTGGACTGTCTATGAAATTACAGAAAAATAACTTAGTGTATTGGGACAATCCAAACGAGTTGGTCGATCGATTACGTCTACTTCTAGCGTCAAAGGCAGCTGGTAATACAGGCGTTTCAAACGAAATAATATCGATTTTCGAGGAATTACGTGAGGCCGGACTAATAAAACGGGTTCCAGATGTCTAAACGGGAAATAGCTTACGAACTTCACAAACCAGCAAGGAAAAATTTCACTAGGCGTAGAGTCAACGTCTATGGGAAAAATGATTTATGGCAAGCCGACTTGGTTGAAATGATTCCTTATTCAAAAATAAATGGCGGTTACAAATATTTTCTGGTTGTGATTGATTGTTATACAAAGTTTTCTTGGTCTATACCATTAAGAAATAAATCTGGGAAGGAAGTTACTAGCGCGATGGCTACAATATTACGTGATCGTTCACCAAAACTTTTACAAGTCGATAATGGTAAAGAATTTTATAACACCACCTTCGACGCTTTGATGACCAAGTATGGCATACATAAATATTCAACTTTCAGTGTTCTAAAGGCAAGCATAGCAGAGAGGTTCAACCGAACAATTAAAGGAAAAATGTATAAGGAGTTCACTGCACGTGGCTCTCATGAATGGGTATCAATTCTACCAAAGTTGCTCGATGAATACAATAATTCATACCATAGAACTATAGGAATGACACCAATACAAGCAGATTCCAACCCCGCTTTGGTGGTAATAAAACAGCGTAAAATTAACAATGAAAAAATTAAATTCAAAGTCGGTGATAAAGTTCGTATAAGTACACAGAAAGGCGTATTTACAAAAGGTTATTTACCAAACTGGTCTACGGAAATATTTGAGATTATCAAAATAAATAAAACATTGCCAGTTACTTATCAATTGCAAGATTATATGAGTAAGCCTATTGCCGGTTGTTTTTACTCTTCGGAAATAAGCAAGACCGATTTCCCAAACGAATATTTAATCGAGAAAATTATTCGCAAGAAGGGCGATCAAATGTACGTCAAGTGGCTAGGATTCGATAATACACATAATAGTTGGATAAATACACTTGATGTTAAAAAATAGTGTCAGTCGTTTTATAACCATGAACGTGTTTGGTAGTTCTCAGGCGAGTGATACTAGGAGAATTATTTCAGATATTCAGTCAAGTAACAAAACGATACTAAATGATGTGAAACTCCAACAGAAAGAAATCGATACTTTGAAAAGTAATATTGTTAATCTACATGTAAAGATACAATTGCTTGAAAATAATATACAAACAAGTAATAAGTCTTTATTAAATTGTGAAAATCGTATGTCGCAGCTATTTAATGACTGTGCTGACAATAGTACAGCGATTGCTATCCAGGGACTTGACGTGGCCCAATTAAAAGCTGAAATAAATCGTATAACTGGAATATTCGATGAAAATTCATTACCAAATCATGGAACATATATTTCAGAATTAAACTCACGTTTGGAGATCATTGAAGGCAAAAATATCAAGAAAACTTAATTTTATTTAATATACTTACTAAATAGTTAAATATATGAAAAATTGAAATACAATTTCAGTCGACCTGTATACTCCATTGTGTACGGTAGTCCTCTGTCAGCGATATAAATATTTACAATAATTTAATAAAACCTGTAATTATGTCGTCGGCTATCGTAGAGGTCCAATGCATTCTTGGAGCAAAAAATAAATATTTTATTAAAGAAATGTCTATAGTCGACACAGCAACGTGGGCAACTCAACACTGGATTTTTAAAAATTCAAAAACTATGCAAGACAACAAGAGTCAAAAAACTAACAAGTGGCTGGAACATAACTATCATAAACTAACCATAGAGTATGGTGATGTTGAATATGAAGAATTAAGTAGAATATTGAACTCATTAAAATTCACCTGCATTTATGTTAAAGGCGAACAGAAAAAACAGATGCTCGCAGAATTTATACCTCAAGTCGCACTAATCAACATCGAAGACCTTGGATGTCCACGTTTGGATCAAATATGCGATGAAGACACCTTACCTTGCTGTATTTTTCATATGGAATTTAATCCAAAACAATGTACATTCTATAAAGTATTTGCTATAAGGAAATGGTTTATAAATAATTCTTAAAAATTGTTATTATAATATGTACATTTTATTTAATAAACATAATAATAATAATATTATATATTTTAACAATTGTTTTTTTTTATTTTATTTATATGCTAACATAATATAGGTACAAGTATAATATAATATTTACAATATATATATACAAAACTAAACAGTTGGTTATAAGTTATTTGTAATAATCAATATATAACAATAAAAATATATAAAATCAGGTTAGGCAATGTAGAAGGTTTCTTCTTCATTCCAGTTATGGTCTCTATTCCAGGCTAATCATCTTCGGGTTCATCTTCCCTATAAAATTAAAAAAGTAAAATCAGTATAATAATTTAAAAATATATATATATAATTGTAATAACTTACTCTATACTATAATGACCATGGGCTAGTGTGTTTATTTTGTCCTCTAACACCACCCTCTTATCATCATAGCTGTTGTACGTTAGCTTATTAGTTCTTATTGTCATAAGCTGGTGATTGAATGACCGTATCGATACATTGTCTCTATACAACTCCTGTCCAATTTCTCCAAACAGGCACTTCCTATGGTCCTCAAGAGTCATATGGTTTTTAACCACATGAGCTCTGATACCTTTCGCCTTAATCTTTTCTCCTCCTACTCGGTCCTTTTCATCTTTCTCCTTATCCTCTTGTCCAGCATATATGTTGAAGGCATACGACTTGGCCCTCAACCCGCAGAATTCAGTAATTATATTTGCGTTCACCTCGTCGGAGAAGAAGCCCGGGGACTTTTTTCTTTCTGCTACATAACACGGATGGTCACCGGGCAGGTTAGCAGTATCCATCCTATCCAACAAGTTGTGGTTAGCCGCCAAGTCCACATAAAAATCTTCCGTCTGAACATGATACACTAGTGAATCTGGAAAAAGAATGATATTAAATAAATATATTATGTAGTTTTAGTATATATTTACCTGTATCAGTGTACATAAGCTTAATTCTATCTCCATAATGTTTCTGCATGACATTGTAATGATAATCATACATTAACGTTTTGCTAATATCTAATACAGCAAATCCTGTAAATAATAAATATATAATAAATGTAATTATAAGTGTATATTATATAATTTAAAAAAATTATATTTACCAATATATATAGGTTTATCGAATTTGATTAATTTGTTCTCAAGCGTTACAGCGTTAAGGTTCTCGTTGTAATTTGTGCAGTGTTTAAATGTACATTTGTTTATTACTTTTTGCAACCTCATCTCACATGACACCAACTCCATCTTCATTTCCTTCCTCTTCGATTGCATAGTCTTCCCTAGAAAATCAAACACAAAATATCAGTAAACATTTTTATATACATATTATATAATAAATAAAGTTGCATACCAAATACAGCGTTATTCATAAGTTTAAAAAAGTCCTTCTCAAATTCATTCTTCGCCTTTTTCCTCAACTCTGTGTTTAATTCTATATATTTGGCTAACCAGTCAGACTGGTTAAACTGAATAACCCTATGTACCTATAAAAAAATTATTACAATCTGTTTAAAATCTTATAAAATACAAATATTTACTTTTTCCACTTTCAACCCATTCTTAATTGCCTGCTGCAGATTTCTATAATGTATAACATAGTTCTTCTTCATCTCAAACGTTGCCATCAACTTCCTCACCTTCGACCCGCGAGGTATACCGCTGTTCGGCAAGAATGGTAGATCGTTGTGTTTATCATGTAATTTTTGTGGGTATGTTACATCCACCTCATACACTCGCCCTATGGGTGATGTATCGTTCAAATCATCAAGTCCGTTTAATGTGGGTTCAACCCAGTTGAACCCACCGTACGGCATGTACTGCGACATTGCCCATCCATACAAGTTGTTACCTATAAAATTTAAAAAAAAATTAATAAGTATGAAAATATTATTAAGTTTAGAAAAATATAGGTACTTACAGTCCTGATATACTATCCACGATTTCTCTTTCGTCTCATCATAGTCCGGGGTCTTTGCATTATTCGCCTTCGCATATCGTTTGCTCGCTTGAACCAATCCACCACGTAAACCTATACAAAATAAATAAGATTAATATTATATATATATATACACATTTTAAAAATAATATACTGACCATTCTCAAACATCAATAACATGTCATAATCCGTCAAAAGTGAAAGTTTCTGCCCCGTAAACTTCAGCATCGCATCGAAACTTAAGCCTGGGGTGGTGAAATAGTGGGCTGCGTCCAAGTTGTATGTCCTCATACATAAGTCGCGGAAGTTTTCGAACACATCAGCCAACAGCAGCACGTCAATTTTTAGATACAAATCGCTATATTCGCCCAGCGTCCTACAGCCAAAGTGGTTCCAAACCAACTTCGCATGCTCAAAGTCTTCCTCGTCTATATGTTCTTCTTTTAATGAACTATAAAAACTCCTCTTACTCGGCAATCGTTCTTCATCCAATCGATCCCAGCTATCTGTGTACTCGTATGGGTACACCCCCTTTCGAGTCACTAACGGCATATCTCCGGCGACAAAATGTTTCGCGGTTTCTCGGAAATTTTCAAGCCCTGGTGTCACAAGATTTTCGGCTAAAGTCAACAGTTTTGATGCCATAAACCTGAACGTGTCTATAAATCGCATTGAAAAGGTGTTTGTGACGTATTTCGTAAATGATATAAATTTCTCCTCGCTGTTAGGTATTACTCTTATAGTTTGAGTGTCATGGCCAAGTTCTGTAACTATTAGATGTGCGTCATAGTTGGACAGGTTATGAAAAAATATAGGTATAAAGTTTGGTGTTTGAAGCTTGAGATTGCACGTGTTACATATAGCTTGCCGGTATTTTCCAGAGAGATGACAGTGATCTGCCACCTTATGGTTGTCGAATGTAAAGTTAGTCTTACATAAATTACATAAATTGCATGAATCATGTGACTGCCGTTGTTTATCCGTGGAAACTATAGGTTTATTGGTCTTCAATAATTTTTTCAATTTTTATCGCCATCTCAGTAACGGTTTCAACAAAATGTCTCGCCACGTCTGTCTTATTCTTGTTTCCTCGGTATAATATTGACTCTGTTGGTATGTCATGTTCCTCCAATAACTCCTGCGGTACGTTATCGCTCGCTTTCAAAATGAGACTATAGCTCATCGCCTCATGTCTATGTAATATCCTCGTCTTGGCTCCTTTCTTCTCATCAGTCTTCGTCAATATCGTCTCAAAATCTGCATAAATTACTATGGGGTGTCTCTGGGTCTTATTCCACGCCTTGAATTCAGTACAGTCACCCTCTTTTGGCATCTCTGGTAAAATTGGTGTGTGTTCTCCGCAAATCAGCTTGTGTTGATTCAGCGCCTCCTGTCCGCTCAACTTGTATTTATGCCGCCTGTCATCGAATGACGTAAAACACCTTTTACAAAATACAACGCGTTCATCATGCTTAGTTTTTTGTGCGCGCACAATTCGTGAAAAATTCGAAATGTAAACGTAATGCGAGTTTTTGTCGTCCTTTACCAACAACAGGTCGAAGTGGTCCGGTTTCTCTTCGTCAACGACTCGTAGCGGGTATACCTCATACCTCGGGGACTTTGGTGGCTGTATTTTTCTATCTATACCATAGACGTTAACGGAGACGCTGGAATTGTTTTTTTCGAATTTAGTTATATCCGATAGCGGTGTCGGGAAGGTGAGGCCGTCAAAATTATATTTTCCTTTATGTTTTTTGTAATTTTCACCCACACAGCATTTATATTTATCAGATAAATTATATGCCACATGCCTCGCTAGAATCGCCCACTTAAAACATTCCTGGTCTGTGTTTTGTGGATTTATTGTACCCCGTTTCCTGTCGATATACGTTGGCAACTCAATATACGACGAGCCACCCATCGGTGTATATTTATATACCGCCAACAACAAGCCGTCTATGCTCTCCAATGTAAATCCGCTTCCACGTGATTGGTACTCATCTTTCTCTGTCATTAACTTCATGTACGCCCTCTCTACAATCGTTCTAATGTCACTATCCGAATAAAGTTCTACCGCCGAAGTTTTGAATGCCCGGTTCTCCGACGAGTTTGGTACGTTGGGCCGGTTGTATGTTGCCTCGAGTTTCAAATTGAATTTAATCGCATGTTTTTTCACGTGGGTTTTCAATAAATTGAATAACTCAGGCATAAGCGGGCGGAGAAAATCAGAATAAATCATTGTATTATCGACATTTTTCGCATAATACCACACGATCTTCCTATTTGCGGACGATGAAATCTCGATGAACCCAGGGGCTTTGACAAGATTCAACCTAGTCTTTTTCGCCCTAGCAGCCGACACGGTGTTGGCCGTGGAAACACGCTTTCCGTTAACGGCAACGGTGTATGAATCTTTAAAAATAAAACCTAATATTAATATCTGATAAAATCTAATGACGAATCTATTAAAAATCTAATCAACCCGTGACTGAAAAATAAAATCTAACGACATGTATTTTAAAAAATCTGTTTTACTTGTATATTCGATTAATAAATCTACTTTAACGTTACGTATTTAAAAAAATAATCCACGGCGGATAAAATAAAATCAGCGGGTCTTTTAAAAATCTAATTGATTCTGATAAATTAAATAAAACTAACCTGTATCCTCAAATTCGTCCATTGCTTTCATACACAATAGATCGTTATCCTCAAATTCGTCCATTGCTTTCATACATAATAGATCGTCATCCTCAAATTCATCCATTGCTTCCATGCACAATATATCATCGTCGGATATCGCATTCGATCCACCAGCCGGGACATCGGGAATAAATATTTGAGGCGCGATCTGGATAACATCACCTTGATTAGAGGCACGAGGCCCTCGTGTTGGGTGATCTATGATTGGTGCAGCGGGTATTGGCCTCAAACGGGTTGGAATGTTGACAATACCTTGGGGAAAAATTTATAAACAAATTAATATGGAATCAAAAAAAAATATAAAATTTAATATTTGTAATAGGTACATACCATGAACATTTTTCAGATGTCTATTGATATACGATTTATAGTTGAATGTCGCTGGACATACGGTACACGGAAAACGAATACCGGTATGAGTTATTTCATGTCTAACCAAACTGCCTTTTCGTACAAAAACCGACGGGCACTGCACGCATTTAAACATATTGATTTGTTTAAGGTAATTACGAGAGAAAAAAAAAATGTTTAAAAATGTTATTATATTTTATATTTTAAACACTGTCAAACAAATAATAAACGCTGAAAAAAAAAACACGAAGGGAGCAAACGCGTAGTACGTGTACAATTAACTGTGACACACTGATCGCGGTTGACCACGGCAGTCGGCAGCTGCTGGTAGAAAAAGGTCGTATCGATAACAAAGGGATAATAGCCATCATTTCTATAGATATATACGATTATTTGAACATTTCAAAAAAACCTACACCGTCGACAATTTAACAGTACCCTGTAGAGATTTTCAATATTATGTTTTATACACAAATACGAGTATATCTCGCGTTCAAGAATACCTACACCGTCGACAATTTAACAGTACCCTGTAGAGATTTTCAATACGAGGTGTGTTCAATAAATACCCAGACTAAAATTATTAAAAATTATATTTCAAACTTACAAATTATTTAAATGGATCACCTTCAAAATAGTGTCCTTTAGCATCAATACAATGCGCCCAACGGTCTTGCCACTTTTTGAAACACCTTTGAATTTCCTCTATAGGTATAGCCTTTAGCTCTTGTTTCGCGTTATGAATAGTTTCGTTAACGTCTTCAAATCTGTGGCCTTTGAGGGTACTTTTTAGTCTTGGAAACAAAAAAAATCACAGGGAGCTAAGTCGGGTGAATATGGTGGATGAGGTACCACTGGTATATTTTTAGATGTCAAAAATTCACGTACGGAAAGTGCAGAATGCGCCGGTGCATTGTCGTGGTGCAAAAACCACGACTTTGATTTCCACGCTTCTGGTCTTTTACGGCGTACTTTCTCTCTTAATCTTTCTAATACTTGTTTATAGAACACTTGATTTATTGTCTGACCTGTAGGTGCAAACTCATAATGAACTAAACCAGAAAAATCAAAAAAAACTATGAGCATTGCTTTGATGTTTGACCGGACCTGACGACATTTTTTTGGACGAGGTGAACTTGCGGTCTTCCATTGCGATGATTGGACCTTGGTTTCGGGATCATATCCATACACCCATGTTTCATCGCCCGTAATTATTGATTTGATAAAACTTGGGTCATTAGAAACCCGATTTTTTAAATCCAAACACACTTCAATGCGATGTTCCATTTGCTCCTCGGTTAACAATTTTGGCACTAATTTTGCGGACACTCTTTTCATACCCAATTCATCTGATAAAATCGAATGACAAGTACCAATTGATATGCCAACTTCATTAGCTACTTCTCTGACAGTTAATCTTCGGTCGGATCTAATTTTGTCTCGAACTAGAGTAATGGTATCATTTGTTTTTGATGTTGATGGACGCCCAGGACGATGGTCATCTTCAATGGATATACGACCTTCTTTAAAACGTTTGAACCAGTCAAAAGTCACACAACGGCTTAGTGCAAAATCTCCAAAAGCCAATTTTATCGATTCAAAAGTTTCCGTAGCATTTTTACCAATTTTGAAACAAAATTTAATACACGCGCGTTGCTCTGAAATATTATCCATCGTGAAATCGCGATTTTATACAAAACGACCAACTTCGAACGCGTATTGTCGATGACTGATTTGAGATAATGATTATTATTATATACTGAAATAATGGTCATTATCTCTAGTTTATTTTGGTGCAATAACATTTCTGATAACATTAAATGTTTTTCTACAATAATTTTAGTCTGGGTATTTATTGAACACACCTCGTATTATGTTTTATACACAAATACGAGTATATCTCGCGTTCAAGAATACCTACACCGTAGACATTTTAACAGTACCATGTAGAGATTTTCAATATTATGTTTTATACACAAATACGGGTATATCTCACGTTCAAATAAATACCTACGCACGCTATTATTATTATTATGGTACATTGATTATAAGCATAATGTGTACATAATTTTGTGCAAGAAATAAACTCAATTATAAACAATTTTAAAACTACGGCAAAACATGTTGTAGATATTTCTCATATTCAATAATATAGGTTTATTTAGTGAATTTGAACGTTTCAAAAAAACCTACACCATACATCAAATAGTGATATACAGTATATATTTCTGATATTTAACAATATATGTTTATTTCGTGAATTTTAACAAAATCGTAATAATCTACACTATAGTTACAATTACGTTATGTTGTAGATATTTCTGATATTTTGCGATTTACTTTTATTTCGTGAATTTTAACAAAATCGTAATAATCTACACTGTAGTTACAATTACGTTATGTTTTAGATATTTCTCATATTCAATAATATACGTTTATTTAGTGAATTTCGACATTTTTAAAAAAACCTACACCGTAGTAACAATAGTGGTATACGGTATATATTTCTGATATTTTACGATTTACGTTTATTTCGTGAATTTCGACAAAATCGTAATAATCTACACTGTTGTCGACGTCGTCAGTCGTCACGTATAGATATCGCTGCATTTCACGGTTGTTGATAATCGTTATCAGTATTAGGTATACGTCGCGGCACCTGCCCAACAATCGTTATCAGTATTAGGTATACGTCGCGGCACCTGCCCAACAATCGTTATCAGTGGTAAGTAGTGGTTACTGATTAGGTTACTGATAAGGCCAAAATATACGTCGCGCACGTGACCGATAATCGTGTGTGTGTGTGTGTGTGTGTGTGTGTGTGTGTGTGTGAGTGTGTGAAGTGTGTGAAGTGTGTGAAGTGTGTGTGTGTGTGTGTGTGTGTGTGTGAGTGTGTGAAGTGTGTGAAGTGTGTGAAGTGTGTGAAGTGTCAGCGGTCTGAACCCCCCAAATCATACTACTTATAATGATATGACTAAACTATACGATACTGTCTACATAATATGCCCGTTAATATACGCGACATTATGCGAGTGGGCCGCGGAGTGGGATGGAGTGAGTGCGGGGGGGGAAACTTTGTCGACGCGAAGCGCGCCCGTTTCGCCTGCCTCTTGTGATCGGCGCTCGTACAACGCACATCGACTCTCACGGAAAAGCCAAATACGTTTCGTGTTATTTAACATTCAGTGTTTTTCTTTGAGTTTTGTTGTCTTTTGGGCGCTTTTCACATACCCGGTGAGTACAACTTCTATAATAATATCTACTACTATATAATATTCAGATAAACTACTGATTCTATATGTTTGCACCAGCTACAGACATCATGGCGCGTTTCGTGTTTTTTTCGTACACCGCAAATGTACTTTGAATACCTATAACTTTTTTATATCCGCATTCGTATTAGTTGTGTATTATCCAGTCGCTGTAGTCGATGTTTAAGTCCGTTGGCTGTTTCTTCGCGTTACCATTGCGGTACCTACGTGTTTTATCGCTTTACATTTTGCGTTAACACTTAACAGTTAATTGTGCAATTACGAGCTGGGTATGTCATTTTTCGTATTTTTCTATTTTTTATGTACATCACGTAAGCCGGTGTGTACCTATTAATTCTAAAAATAACACGCGAGTCTCATACCTCACCGCTGATAACAATAACTGATACCTACAACAGACAACAGTCGTTGTATTCGATTGCAACGTTTTTTTTTTATGACGAGTTTTTCATATTTAGTATTCACTTTTTACTTATTATTACTATAACCTGTTCGTGATGCTTTTAGGCTATTCAAAATGGTCAAACGATGTGTGTTATGCGGAATTGTGGAGAACATTATCGATGTTTCCGTACACAAGTAATTCACCCAACACGTACCAATACCTACTTATCAATATATTATAATAAATTATGTGTCGCCTTAGATTTCCAACTGCCGTATACCGTATACAGTTACTGTTGGCGCGACTTTTAACAAACGTTTACATAATACGGGAGACATTGGTTCTAACACCATGTTGGTGCGTGGAAACAAAACCACAACCAGCTGACCGAGTTCCGTTTCCATATCGTTGCGCCTTCGGCAATGCAACGCTGAAATTCTTGATGGAAATACAGTATGCTATTATTTCAGGACACCTTCATTTATTCGTAAGTGATTACGGGCCTTATCAGTAATTTTTGGGCACGGTAAAAATACTATTTTCATTTTCGACCCGGCTTCGGAGTGGTGGATCTTTTATCTGACGTTTAGTCGGATTGCTTACGCATTTAACGATGTTATCATCAATCAAGGTGGTGACTGACTTGCTAGACACTCAACAGATCACGGCGGCACGATTCCCTCGAACCGGCCGTCACACATCGTCAAGTTGTCTACCCGGGTGACTACGACCAACATCAAGTCGATCGACACCGCGGAGAACGCCGCCGTCGTGCGTCGTGTCGCTTTTACTATAACATACAGGCTTCAATACAGCCCCCCTCAAATGATTTTATTTTATTATTTTATTTATTATTATTATTATTTTATTTTTTTATTTTATTTTATTATTTTATTATTTTATTATTTTATTTTATTTTTTTTCTTCTTTATTTTTGCGTTTTCGGTAACAGTAATGAACGTGCCCCCGCCTTCGCACATTGTCCGCTATCCGACGGGGTCGGATTGACTACCGGATAACATAGATGACTGACCTGCTAGACACCCAAAAAAAGGCGGTGGCTATATGATATGCATGGACGCCCGAAATATTTCTTCTTTATTTTTGCGTTTTCGGTAACAGTAATGAACGTGATGACGTTCATCAGCCGTCGCACATTATCCGCTATCCGACGAAGTCGGATTGCCTACCAGGGTGACTACGACCTACGTAGAGGAAGGTGACTGACCTGCTAGACTCCAAAACATATTTTCACGTAAATTATACACCCAATCCTCGAACCGTACGTCACACGTCGTCACGTTGTCTACCAGGTGACTACGTCTCACATCGATTCGGATTACCTACCAGGGTGACTACGACCTACGTAGAGGAAGGTGACTGACCTGCTAGACCCCAAAACATATTTTCACGTGAATTATACACCCAATACAATCGAACCGGCCGTCACACGTCGTCACGTTGTCTACCGTGACTACG